TTTCGGGCCTTTGTGAAGACAAAACCAATGACTGGGAAGTAGATTCATTATGCTGACTAGCTGCAAATAGGACTCATAGATACACATTAAGGTTGCACAAAGTAACAATTTCTTTTTCATCCAAAACATGTTTCAGTTTTCTTTTGTAGAACAGAACTCTGAACCTAGCAGAAACTATCTTTTTACCGAAGATTTGAAGTGTCAGTTCTTCAAAATTTCTACTGTAGTTTTAGTCCACCACAGAATTCATTGTAAGCCTAACGGGAATGATGAAATTCTTAAGGTATGCTTTATAGATCAATTTGGAGCTTAGCAATAAAATTCCTTTCCTAATATACACATATAAACTTGACTGCTACAAACATGGGTACCCAATTAATAATAAACCCGTAGTTTATTAATAACAATAGCTTACGAAGCATTTTAACTTCCTTCATAGGATTATTTATACTTACTTTTACACCATTGCCAGTGATAGCAGAACAACCTTGGATTTGCCATGGCCTATCTCTAATCGTTAGTAATCCTAATCCATCGGATATTTTATTTGCTGGTTCAGCAGATATTAAATCTTGTTTATTAGCAAATATAATCAGAGGAACACCAGCCAATTTGTCTTCGGATAAAAGTTCCATAAGTTCCTAAAGCATATTGTTATTCAACAAATGAGTTAGTTTAGAAATCAACTAATACTCTTCATATGAATAAAAACCTCGAAGAAATACGCTGTCAAACAGAAAAAATATCCATCTTAGTGGTTGAACGATAAGTTGGGACACTGAGATTGACAGCCGAACAATAGCATATGACGTTGAGATTTCTACCAGATATTCTTGTTTATAAAAATTTTCCAGAGCTGAAAAAAAGGTCGAAGAGATGTTCACTGTAACCGCTTAAAAGTCTGCTAGTAATAGTCGTTATTAACACATAAAAATTAGACCACGTATTTGGGAACATTGGGCGAATTATGGATGACTGAGATGTCTGTAAACCATGAGTGTTAGCAGCTGACATAGTTTTTGCATGGAATATATGCCTGAAATAGCTGCACTACAATTTCATGACAAAGATGCCATGTAAGTGGGTGTGGCAAATAAGTTTAGAATGTCGGACAAATACTCTTGCTGATCACTAATAAACTAAGAGACTTATTACATTACGAGCTCCAAGACCCCAACATCTACTAATAAAGGTTGGTCTAACCTAGTTGATACTCAGACCGAAAGTAAGAAACATGCCACTGATGACTGATTTTTGCTGAACGTTAGAAACCCATAATATCTTAATCCATGACATTGAAACGACACATGTAAACCGTGAAAGCAGAGTGGCCTAAAAACTACTTTCCGTCAAGGACAACTAGACGTAAGTACAAGAAACGGTAGAATGAGAACAAAGACAACTAGGCCAAATGACTTGCACCCCCAAGGTAAGAGAGCAGACTTCATCCTATATCCCTACATCAGCAGACTCAGGGTTAGAAAAAGGAAATCAATCTCGAAAGGAAAATTGGAATGGCGGAACTTACTTTAATTTTGTAGTAAGGTCATACCGACCCTATTCAGGAAACAGAGCAACTCGAGATCAGCCAACATCTTTCAGAGTATCACTGATATCTGTCAAACGAGCAGTAGACAAATTCACAGTTACTCGTCAACGAGACGTCGCAAGTTCCTGAAACTTAAGGGCCATGTTATATAAAACATAGGCGAAGAACAATCCAATCTTGGTGATCTGCGCAAGAAAGCAACCATGATGGTACATGGAAAATCCAAACTAGCAGAGGTGTGCACAAACTGTGAGCGCTTTCTGATGTTGTTGAGCATCGAAAATGTGACCAAAAGTTTTGCTAATCAGTGGTGTAAATAGACTACAGAGCATATTAACACATACGTTGCAAGTTAGTTTCTTTGACTTCAAGGAATCGCTTACAGAAACCCTCACGATATTGTGCCGTATAAAAGACTGCATAGGAGGCGTCATGCAGTACTGTGAAAAAGAGCCAGACTCATCTGATGAGAAGGTCGAAGACGACTTGCCAGAACTCTTCAAATTGTGTTAGTCACAAGAGAACCTCCTGGTTAACTTATCCTTGAAAACATTCGGATAAACAACACTTCCCTTACACCGACGCTGAATATCGGGAAGGTCTGGAGAACGAACTTCTTTTCAGCTTAATAGGAATCAAACAACAGTTAAGAAGAATATACATCAAACGAACCACCCTAACAGCAGACCATTATCAATAAATGTTCAACAGTTTCGTGGGAGGACTACTCACACACACCCACCTGATGGCTGATATCAGGGTTGGCACTAACTTCTTTTCTCAAGGAGTATGCATATTGTGTAACGCTTTGGCGAAAGAAGTAAAAATAGTCTTCTCAATCAACTCTTTCAGACAGATTCTGGATAGATATGTGAGCACATACGGCTTACTAACAACATACGCCAGCAGTAAATGGTTATTTATTCATTCATCGCTCTGCCGTCCTACATTCGGCTATGCACTACTGAGCGTAGCACTTTCGTACCGTCAATATTAACACTTATGACTAATAAGTACTTTATAAACACCTCCTCATCTTCCGTACCTACCGTAGCCACGCACCCAATGTTCCGCACTACTGTTAGACAAAATGTCACACACTTACAGGTACCTATTGGGACACGAATCACAACCTAGACACCAGATTTAAAAAACAATCGGCTTTCTATGCTTGCACTATTGATATTGGGGTGCCACAAGTATGGGTTTTACTTATTTTATCATGAATTCTGAGTGAAATACTGGTCACATAACTCATATAATGGAATAGTTATTGATTAAATGTTCGTTTGTTATTGATCGGTATTTAAGCATGTATATAGGCACCTCAGTCAGAAGTTCACTTGCACCAGTGTCAAACTCATTTATAAAGGCTCTTAGCTTCACCACTGTGCATAAAAATTTATAGAGCATCTTTAGATTATAACTATTAGTTAGAGTCAGATTAACTAATGGATTACCATATAGCAAGACTGCTTGGAGAAAATATTGTAAGAGCATAATCAAGCTCTTTGTTTTCACTAAACCCTTCCTACGAAAATGTCCACACAATGAGTGCGATCTATCTTTCTTCCTTTTCAATAGGTTTGAACACCTCAAAAGAGAAAGTATGAGAACGCGAAAACAAAGAATGGATGTAGTATCCATAGGTTAGTGGTTCTCGAGTAATCAACTCCTGGATCTGACTCTAAGAAGAAGTGCCTTCTACATCACCAGTTGGTTATTTCAAAAAAGGGCTGGAAAAGCACAAAGATCTACTGAGAAACGATTGATGCAGGTTCATAGCCTTCTATTCATATACAACAAATGGAATTGGAATGCATCAGACTGAAACAAGGAAACTTCTAGACTGTTATGCAGTCATATATATATATATATATATATATATATATATATATATATATATATAACTCATTCACCGACTTTACCTCTCCAGTTTCTTCAAACCGCTTTTTGTCTGCACTATCTATGACATAGATCTGAGTGAATCGCTTATAGAAATTTATGGACGTACTAATACATCTGTATTTTCAAAGTAATTCTTCCAGTAAGGACGAATTTTTCGCTGACCACCGATATCCCACACATTCAGTTTGAATCCCTGTGACTGGACGCTTTTGATATTAAAACCCTGAGAATTTTCAAAATGATGGTCTATTACCTGAGTGGGAGTTGTCTGAGAAATATCTTCGGATGCTAAATGCTTTAGTATAGTTGTTTTTCCCGCATTGTCCAGACCAAGAAGAAGGATTCTTATTTCTTGTTCTGGTTTAGACTTCAGCCTACGCAAAAGGTTTAACAAGCCCTGTTTGGTCAGAATAGGATAATGAGATAAGCAAGAATATTTGAAGTACCATCACTAATTAACTCGTTTAAAGGGTATTAGAGAAGCACAAAATCTCCGGGAAAAAGATTGATATAGGCTGACAGCCTTCTATCCTCAAACAACAAATTTAAATCCTAATAGGTTGACCACCCACCTGTTGTTAGGATACATACGCACTATGAGTTATAACGTTAAAACAAGTTCACTAAAGTCTCATATTAAAATGATCCTTATGTATGATTTCGCATTGCTGCACAAGCAAAAATTGGTTGATTGCGCGATAAATTGACAGGTTCAATGTTCTTTCAGCATCACTCGTGAGTGCAAGGTGAATTACAAGTTTCTGAATATCAGTGCATTCTTTCTCGACATCCAGTCTATTATACGTCTTACGAGCTTTAATGAGTTAGCCGACCCCTTTTAGCTCACCTCTGGATCTTACGGAATAAAATGAACCACCAGTTGATTTGGATACTGAAGATGTAATCGCTCGCTTATTGTAGCTCCGGAAAGCCCAGTAGGCGGTCATATATTTGTTATATTTGTAGGGAAAGGTGTGGTTCCATCTGTTAGACTGTGCCAAACGTAGGATCTTCAAACGCTATGTCATCAGACACCTACTTGGGACGTTGGTAATATGAAGTCATGGGGATTCAGAAGATGACCGGCAAAAATAAAGTGAAGATAAGGAAAAATGAAATAAAAGCTTAGGTTGTGTAATCTGTCAACCACAGGCGTAAGGGACGGAATCAAATTCGCAGTAACTGTGCCACTCAAAGACTGCTGGCGTAAAAATAACACAAAATGAAGGAGTGACATGGTGCTAGTTAGTCCGTTTAATCGTGAACCTACTCCAACTTGGTGTTTGCAATCCATGTGCCATTGCCTAGTTGCTCAAGTTTTCCCCTGGAGCTATGGATGTTCACAGTAATGGCTATCCCAGCTGATATTTTTTCACTGAGCACCGGGCCAGGAGGAGAGAAATGGAATTGCTTATGAATCACTGATTTGTGATGGACTATTCTTCTGGGTTTGAAAAGGATCATCTTGCTGACCAGTGAGTATTACTCACCTTTTTGGGTGAATTTCATCGCTTACTCCCTCATAATTTTTATACGGTAATCACTATCTTCACAGTGACCGGCATTACGAATGCCTCAATTCTTCACCCCATTTTCACATGATCTTTAGTTGGATACCCACATATCCGATTGTTTTTCACATCCAGACTTCTTTCTGTAGTTTCGCATCCGTCTTCACATGTTGAGGTGCAATGACGCAGTTACCCTCTGGCCAGAGTCAAATGTAGGAATACCATTAGACCCAGGAAATCGAGCATGAGAAGAGCTTGGGCTTACCATCTATCCACTCACCTGTAAGGAGCTTAAGGGCGAAGAACCTACCTTTTGTGAAGCTGACACAAGCCCTGTTGATTACAGCTTTTCTGTTCAAGCACTTCCTTATTCGGTCGCCTATGAGGTCTCCGGATAATTTTGCCAAACCTGATGAAAGCCCTACAAGTTGGTGGCAGTTCGAATGCTGCCAGACGTTTTTCATGGAGGGAAATAGGGTGACATGTTTTCACCCCTCCTAAGCTGTTGTTTATATGACCAGATAGTCATCCTCGCATTGTTTCAACCCGGATGAGTGGGTGTCACCTTATTCTCTTATTTTCCTACACAAAGCCTTGACAGCTTCTCCGAAAACATTTTTGCTTCAAACATTTGGGCAATTTTCAAGCTCGAAATTTTTCACTAAACCGGGTCTCTATAAATGTGCCCCCTGGCTAATAGATTTTTTCTCCAGCAAGAATCTAGGTAGGTTCTCGAAGTTTTCCGCAAGTTACGGAGAAGATTCATCCGGATTAACATGTCTCATTGATCCTCGACGACACACTAATTCCTCGGAGTCACAAACTAGTTAGGACATGACTCTATAATTCAGACTCTTCTTGTGACTTTTTGTGTTGCGAGGATCTCTGATTGCATTGCTTTAGCCATGGGACATATACTTGGGTATTATTACGACCAGGAGGTCCTCACTGACCGTCCTGTTGATAATATCTTTGTTAATAATAAATCCTAGTTGTATTGATATTCCAAGGAATGTTCCACCTGTGGCCAGGGGTTTTTTAATGATATTGTCTTTACTCTGAAATATATTGCGAGAATGTCGCACAAAATTTTCACTATTTCATATGACATCAGTGGGATAGGAGCAGTTTATACAGAGACGTGAATCGGAATAAACGAAAGCTGTATACATAAAAGATAAGAATGTTTGCTCTGTCTGCAACACGTTTGAAAATACCGGGTAACTTATGCAGTCATACTGGCGGTAATATTCATAATAAATTAGTGACAACAGGCTGTAAAGCCTTTGATCAGTTTGCTTTGAACAATGGAAGTTGGTTAGTCATGCCTAACATCGCCATCCTCGCACGGGATGTGGTTCAAATGAATTTTGGTAGAATTATCATGGTCATCTGGAAAAATAACTCCTGTCAGATGTGTGCGTGGGTTAGAATGGTTGTCCTCAACAGCTTCAATTGGAAGGTTAAGATGCACACTGCTAGTTCAGCTGACAATCTTCGCCGCTGTGATAAAAATAATACATCTGGAATAATGAACTATATCCACGTAAATAAGTTAATATTTTATCCTCACGTTAGTAAGTTAACATGAGAGAAGCCAGTTTACAGGCATCGTCACATTGAAATACGTTGAAAAATGTACAAGATTTCACAGGACCTTAATGGTACGGAAGGGTGATAATCAAATTCTCATAAAACATCAGATGGTCCCGCAAGCTATGGAATAGACAAGAAGACGTCACTTTTCAGCATGTAGCGTCACAGATGTCCTCAAAATCAATGGCCTAGGGTCTGACGACACTCAACATGGATGCTGACCTTGATAGTCTAACTGGAATCGCTAAGCTGAAGGTACCCGGTCAAGCATCCTCGCCATTTGGCACGCTGTCGTGTTACGTTGCATTGCTCATATTCGACTCTCTAGCCAGTTAGTTGGAACGCATCGGTATTTTGGCACAGCCATCCAAATATACTATTCCATCCGACTACGCTATCGTGTTCTTCCTTGGTCTCGCATTCGTGGGTATATAACAAGTCCGAATAATTAGTGATTGGTCTTTGCGTCTGTCAAGTTCGCACCAGAACAAATCCTAAATTGGTGAGCCTGACGTGACCACATATTCCGACCAATAACAGGTATTGAATTGGTGAGTCTGTTCCATTTTATATTTGCTTATTGTTTTCATTTCGATAACATTTATATATCCATTTACTACACTTTCTCATGTCCGACCACACTCCCAAGCTTATTCGTATTAAGCCGACTACGAACACGATCCAACTCGTGCCATATTGGCCAGACAATGCAGAAACATGGTTTCTGTATGCCGAGGCCGATTTTCGAGAACAGGGCGTCTCAGATCCTCATTCTCGATTTCTTGCCATCATGTGTTCACTACCGCGAGAATTAAACAGGTATGTTACAGCATACATGTTTAATCCTGAAGTAAGTGATCCTTATGCACTTCTTAAGGCCGCACTCTTGAAGAAAAGCGATCTCACAGATCGCCAGCGTCTAGACGAATTGCTTCGTAACATCGAGCTAGGCAGCCACTCAGCTACTGAAGTCCTCGCACGCATGCGAGAAGTAATCGGTGCACGAACATTCGACGATGGTTTTTTCCGAGAACTATTTCTCTCGAAACTACCACAACCGGTGCAAACCGTGTTGGTGACACTGCAGTCAGTCCCACTCGATGACCTGGCAGCCTCAGCAGATAAAATACTGGAGATTTCCAGCAGACCCGTCTCCAACGTATATTCTATCTGCGACAAACCAGAGCGCCAGGATTCAGAGGTGACCAAGCTGTGCAACTCTGTGAAACGTTGCTACGATCTCGAAGTCCTAGATCACGTACCACTTCACAGAAACGCACCTTGGCGCATCGCAGCAAGTCGCGTGGTAGCCCCAAAACGAAACCCAACAGGGTGGAAAACCCTGAATGGTGCTGGTTTCATAACACTTACGGAGATGAAGCCAGAAAATGTCGTAAACCATGCCGTTTTAAGAAGGACACAAACTCGGGAAACGGTCACGCCGGCACGTGCTCACGGCAACCGTAGCCGGCGGAAAAAGCCGTTTGCTCTACGTCACCGACATTAAAACGAAAGTCCGCTACCTCGTCGACACCGGCGCAGAAGTTAGCGTTCTTCCAGCAACGACAAAGGAGCGTCATCACGACCCATCCTTCAATCTTCAAGCAGCCAACGGCAAGGCAATCGCGACATTCGGGAGACAGTATGCCTACCTCAACTTAGGTTTACGCAAACCTATCCACTGGATCTTCCTCCTTGCTGACGTCTCTATGCCCATCATTGGCATAGATTTGCTAAACCATTACGATCTACTCGTAGATGCTCGCCGTCGACGACTGATAGATAACAACACAAAGTTATCTATTGGCGGCACCACCTATGTAGGTCCGAGTTTAGCCATCGTTAGAACCAAACAATCAGGCGACGCGTCCTACCAAGCAGTTTTGGAGAAATATCCAGAGTTGCACAACCGAAGCACACTTCCGTGCATAACCAGCAATGTTATGCATCACGTCACAACCACAGGTCCACCTGTGGCATCCAAAGCGCGCCGTTTAGCCCCCGATAAGCTCAAAACGGCGAAAAGCGAATTCGACCACATGCTCGAACTGGGCATTATCAGACCGTCAAACAGTCCTTGGGCATCGCCATTGCACATGGTTCCCAAAAAGGATAGCAACGACTGGCGTCCAACCGGTGATTACCGAAGGCTTAACGCCAAAACAACTCCGGACTGCTACCCGATACCTCACGTTTACGATTTGACTGCAACCTTATGCGGAATGAACATTTTCTCCAAAATCGACTTGGTCAAAGCGTACAACCAGATACCTATGGCAGCAGAAGATATCGCGAAAACAGCCATTATTACTCCTTTTGGCCTGTTTGAATTCCTGCGCATG